AAAAAAAAAAAATACACGTTAAGGAGTAACTGTAAAGGTCCTGGTGGCGACAACCGTTATTTGGAAGTCTGGTGACCGGGGCAGCAAGAAGCACTATTACAAAGTTCGGGAGACACAACACAACCTGAAGGGGCTAGAGGGCACGAGGGGAACCAGTGACTGGACAGGTACAGTACCAAACAGAACACCTTGGGTCAGTGCTACGAGGGATCTGTGCTCAAGTCTACTAGAGATCCCATCCAGGCAACCTCACTGAGGCCGAAACAACAGTTCCTCAGAACCAGCGTCTGCAGAGTACGTGAGGCTCGGAGCCAGGACAGTCCTGAGGGGCGTGGCCTTCCCAGAGGATACTGTACTTGCCAATCACAAGAGCAACAGAAATGACAGACAGATCCCTAGGGTACGGATTCCTACTGCTGGGGTTCGCTGGCTCAGAGTAACAGGTCACTTTAAGTGCCCTTGGGAGGGGTCCATTTTAAACAGCTCGGATCCATGGTTTTATTGGAGTTGGATCTTTTGGCCTCCTTGGCTATCCACTCATCAATCAGGTCCTGGGGGAGAACAGGAAAAATTATTATACGTGTTCAACGAAAATGTCTTTGTACATACAGATTCCAAAATGCTGGTCAGTCAGGAAGGAATTGCCCCAAGTTTAATGATATGCTAAGGTGCGAAAGAGGTATAAAAACATCTCCTGATTTACAAAATGCTTTCCCGCAGAATCCGTTTCTTCCTACTGTGTCCTCCGTAAGAAGTGAAAATTATCCATCTTCCCTTCTTATACAGTAGTCAACCAAATCAAATTAAAAGTGGCCATGACTTGAGATGGAATTTGTTAAAGGAATTTATTTAAAAAAAAATTTTTTTTTCAACATTTATTTATTTTTGGGACAGAGAGAGACAGAGCATGAACGGGGGAGGGGCAGAGAGAGAGGGAGACACAGAATCGGAAACAGGCTCCAGGCTCTGAGCAGTCAGCCCAGAGCCCGACGCGGGGCTCGAACTCACGGACCGCGAGATCGTGACCTGGCTGAAGTCGGACGCTTAACCGACTGCGCCACCCAGGCGCCCCTGTTAAAGGAATTTAAAAGCACTTGCATGAGCCCTGCGGTCTACGAAGATTCCCCTCTACAGATGGGCAATTTTTTCCAATCGAAGAAAATCACGCAACGACACGAGTACTGTGGGACACAAAGCTGCTTAACTGAGCGGCTTCACTTGTGTCATCCAAATCTGAGACAAGAGCTTACCCAAAGTTTCTGAGAGGGGAAGATAGGAGGGAGACAAGCCTAACAGACATTGCTGCCTATGAAAAAAAAAAAAGAGAGAGAGAGAGAGACCCAGTGAAAGGTGTATCTAAGCAAACTCCTCCTTTAAGAAGAGAAGGCGGGGGGCACCTGGGTGGCTCAGTCGGTTAAGCGTCCGACTTTGGCTCAGGTTGTGATCTCATGGTTCGTGAGTTCGAGCCCCGAGTCAGGCTCTGTGCTGACAGCTCAGAACCTGTTTTGGATTCTGTGTCTCCCTCTCTCTGCCCCTCCTCCATTCACTGTCTCTCTCTCTCTCCAAAACACTAAACATTAAAAAAAAGGAAAAAAAGAGAGGGCTGCCTTTTGGGTGTTAAGCCCCCACTTCGCTGTTAAGCCTTAAGAGACATTTAACCATGAGCCAGCAGCTGACAAAAACTTTACCTGTCTCTTTAAAACTAGATGTTTTCCTTTCCAGTACTTGAGCATCTGAAGGGCTTGCAGAGTGCTGACAATGTCCACAGGATTCACAGCTGTCTCCTGGCTAATTTCTGAAATAGAAGCACTACTGAGAACCTGGCCAAAGTGCAAACCCTCAAACCCCCAACTGAGCCTCCCTACCGCCACCCCCCCCCTTAAGAGGAAATCCAAATGGTTGGAATCTTTGATACTCAACCCAACCTATTCAGAAAAAGCTTACAGAACATTCATTTGACCAGTTCTAATAACTACAAAAGAGGAATAGTACAGCAAGAAATCACTCCGGCCCCTATGGAAATCAAGGTCAAAGACAGACCTGATTAAATTCTTCCACCCTGGCGTAAATATACAGGGATGTCTTACCAGCTCCTGTGTGTGCCAAAAGACTTGATGGAAAATAAACGTTTTTCTTCTTTCTGGACTTTTGTTACCAACCCCAGGTTTGTGAAACCAAATCGATAACCATTCCCAAAGGGCCAAACGCTCTAGAACCCGTAGGCACCTTTAGGGAGAGTCTCTGCAGTGCCCCGTATTCAGTGGGCCTTCTATTCTCATATTCAGATGAAACACAGAATGAGGCATTCTCTTTGCAGGTTACACGCACATCGGGGCCAGTGGAAAAGCTGGACTATTCAGCGGCATTAACATCTTGGGTACCAACCATCTTCAAGAGTCAAAACACCAACCTTTGATAGAAATCTCTTTGCCTTGGAAATTATGCAGGTAACGGAGAAGCACTTCTTTCCAGTAACTGCGATAGCTTATGAGTCCCAGGTCAGAGAGGGGACGTTCTGGGGAGCCAACTTTTTCTTCCACTTTGGAAAGCAAATAACCTGCCAGGGAATGGAACACACACACTGTTATTTCATCCGAACGGCAAACGACATTGTGCCAACGTGGCAGGCCTAACGAGAACCGTCTGCTGTGCAGTACATTAGGATTCAGACATTAACAAAATACAGTGTGGCTGCTGTATGGTATGCTACCTCGGGATAAACCAAAAGAAAGAATGTTATGTTAATATTTACTTGTACGAGACAGGAAGAAAACTCGAGAAGGTTTCACACGTAGAAACTGGTAACAATGGTTACCTGTAGGTGTGTGTTGGGAACAGGGGAGTGGGCACAGAGACGGGAAGCCATTTCATTACATCACTTTGTGTGTTTTTGGAGATTTAAAAATTTTTTAAATAGATTATTATCTCAGTACCCACATCTTGTTATGGGGATGCAGTCCACAAACTCCACTCTGAGAAACCTTAGTGGGAAACTAACCTGCTTTCGATAAATAAATAGCAAAGAAAAACAAGAAACAGATGGAGTGGGAACCTTCAGACTGCAAGTGATTTACAAGCCACTTCTATCAATGCCAATATATCCATTCTCTTTGGAATGAAGTAAAAATAATTATGCGTGCTTTTTAAAGGAACAAAATCATAAAATTAAGGAAATCTGAATACTCTAACTTAGGTTATTAAGGGATTTGGGGAGGTTTGGTTTTGTGTATGTTTTAACCTGAAATAGATCTTTTCTTTTAGAGACAGCAAAGTAATTGAGGGTAGAAACAGAGGTAAAACAAGACTGGCCAGAAAATGCTAATCATTCATTATAGAGGGTTTTAGGCAATGATTCTCCTTTTACACATGTTTGAAATTTTCCATGAAGACAAGTTTCTAAGATAGGTGTTACCTCTTCAGAGTTACAGGCACACACACACCCCCACCCCGGTAGTGGGACTGTTCCACTTCCTGATTTCATCTCTTCCCAGGTGGTTTAAACATGGAAAAGCTGGAAGGCTAACTCTAAGTATTCTAATTTTGACCAAAACGTGTCATAGGACAGTGAACCCTGCACAGAATACAGTTGATTCTCATCATTTACAAGAAGTTAAATGTTCTCTGAAGTCACGGCAAATACCGCACCACCGCTCCTACGGGAAATACCAGGTTCGGTTTCTATGAGCCTTTGGTCATATTTTCATCAACCCGCCATTATGCAACCTTGTTGTGTTTCACAACTTATTTAACATACGTTGCTGACTCCTTAGCATCCAGCTTCCGGCCAACAGCACCACAACCTACGCCTGAATGAAGCCTGCCTAACTCGGGTATTTTCTCTGCGAGGCACCCCACAGCCTTTCTGGATGGCATTTCAGCACTACACTTAGGGGCAATTTAAAATCACCAACAGGGGCACCTGGGTGGCTCAGTCAGTTGAGCGTCCAACTTCAGCTCAGGTCATGAGGTTTGTGGGTTCGAGCCCCGCGTTGGGCTGTGTGGACAGCTCAGAGCCTGGAGCCTGCTTCAGATTCTGTCTCCCTCTCTGCCCCTCCTCCATTTATGCTGTCTTGCTGTCTCTCTCTCTCTCCCACAATTAAGTGTTAAAAAAAATTTACAAACACTTGCTGTCTCTCTCTCAAAAATTAAGTGTTAAAAAAAATTTACAACAAATACAACCAGCAACAAAAAGCACAAAAATATGAAAAATGTAGCACTAACGGATCGTGAAACAAACATCTGTTTACACCACGAATGCCGAAACAAGGCACCTGCTTGTTTGGAGCTGAGAAAATGCAGTGACTTTTTGCTGCTGTGTGCGTGTCTACAAGTGACTGCAAAAGTGCCGAGAGTATTGACTTGGGGTTTAACAATAAATTCCTAAATACAGAATACACTATTGATGCGGCCCGAAGCCTCTACCAGGTGTATATATATATGGACTGCCTCTAGACAAGGCCTTACAAAACCGAAATCCCTAATCCAGGAGCAGATTTGAAGCCTTATGTACGTATGTGCTGTTCCTAAGCCTCAAACGGGGATAATCCTCAAAAGCTTACTTCACTATCCTCTCTCTCTCCTACCCTCAGGTACCAACTCCGGGTTGGTCCAAAGAAGGTTCATTGTATACCAGGCTGGCCGGAATTGTTCAGATTTTTCTCCACGTATTCATTCACTTGCTACATGCCTGCCCGGAACTACGGGGACCACAGGACAGAAAGATGACAATGTTCCCATAGCCCCCGCCCCTTGTGGAGCGTGGGCCTTAGCAGCGTCACTTACTGAAATCAATGAGCATCTTGCCATAGCCCTGTCTCATGTACTGAGGCATGGTAAGGATACAGGACACATTGTAGTTGAGGAATGAATTCTTTTCCTGAAATCAAGAGCAAACAGATGGAAGCAGGTCACGAGGGTTTGGAACCAGAGGGGTCTGCGGTCCCACAGATTCAGAATTAGGCACCAGCAAAATATCTGGCTAACCAGTCCCGGGGAGTGGCTGGCAGGCTCACAGCTGTTACGTCCACACCTACTAGGTATGGCCAAAGCCATTAATCCCAGGGTTTCCCTAGCTCTTGGGATCAGTCTCATTTTCAGGGGGCGGACTCGGAGTTCTTTATAGTCACAGCGCAAGGCAAGGAGGTCTGAGGTTTTGACTGCTGAGTTGTCTCGGGCAACCCTCTGTAAATGCAATTTTTTTAAAAGGGGGTTGCCCACTGGAAAGGAGGGAGACCCCAAACAGTAAGCCCCCAGTTTGGAAGGGGTTGGTCAACAAGCAAACCACATTCTGTAGGATTCCACTTATGTCAAATGTTCACAAGAGGCACACTTCTAGAGATAGAGGGCTGGGAGGGGTTGGGTGGAAATGTGGAATGTCGCTTAGGGGTTTCTCGCCAGGGTAACGAAAACAGTGGGGCCTGTGCCGTTGCCGCACAACTCTACTAAAAACCACTTAAGTATGCACTCTGAATGAGTGACTCGTATGGTATGTGGATTACACTTCAATAAAGTTTATATTAAAAAGTCCTAAGCAAAATCTGGCCTTCGGTCTTCAAAGGCACAGTGGGGTTATCACTGAAAAGAGCCCAGCTAGAAAGCCAGGCAAAGGAATATATTCCTGGTTTTAGGCTAATAACAGAGGGCAGAGCCAGGAGGGTTGGCTTGACTACAAAATGTGGGTTTTAAGGGTTAGCAGGCAGGGCCTTGGCCAATAATTAATAGGCAGCTCCAGCCCACAAGTCCAGAAATGAATAAACCAGAAGCTTTCAATAAAGAATTGCACATTTTCATTAAACAACCTTTGATACATGGATTTCCGAGCCCCGAGCCCCCGCCCCTGCCCCTGCAAGGGAAGGGCGGTCATCACTGTCCAGGGTACTGCCTCTTCCTTGTCAGTGATTTGGGTCCCCATATGCCAACATCAATCACCCCTGCTGTGGCCATTAGCTTCTTAATCTCCAGATCCTGCTGACCTTGGAAAAATATCCAATCAGGTGACAGCCGGTGTTGTCCGCTTCAGTCATAACATAAAACAGGAAGGGTTCCACATCGTAATATAATGTCTTGTGGTCCAGAAAAAGTTTGGCCAACAGGCACAGGTTTTGGCAGTAGATCTGGAAACCGAGAAACAGAATTCATGTGTGGGCCAGCGACTCCTACACTTATCAGATAAAGGCCTAAAATTAAAGATCGTTATTGCTGATGAAACGGCAAGTGTACTTTGGTCAATAGTTGAACTTTATCCTCTTTACAGGGCGAGATGGAGACCAAACACACGCCTTCTGAAGCCTGTGAATATGCACCACCACCACCACCACTGCCGCCGCTGCCCCTCCTGCCACTGTTTACCTTGTTCTTCTTGCCATCTACTTCAAACACAGAGACGGAGCCTTTGCGATAGATCTCATCGCCGGGTGGGTGTTTCCACACACATTTAGCCTGCAGGAGAACGGAATTCATATCAGGGAAACAAGCTTCCCCCAACAAGACTACCGCTCAAGAGGGAAAATGAATCACAGGTCAAACTTTAGTTAGCGGAGAGGACAGACAGCTGACACGCTTGAGAAGGTACAGCAAGAGAGAGTTTCTGTTTCAGTAAAACAATTAAAGTCTTCTAAAATCATAGTAATGTTTTTATGGTATTTTTATAGCAGTTTAGAACAAGATTTCTAGATGGTATTCTGGCCCTGCTTCAACCCAGGAGATTAAAGTCATCTACTACGTAAAAGACAGATAAATAAAAAAATACCCTTATTATAAAACGCCTTGTGCCAACAGGAAATTCTTAAGCAGCTTATTTCCAGCAGCTTAGAGTTGCTAAGTAAGGGCAAGAATACTTGACGTTCACCTTTACCAGTAAACTTTGCTACCACCTAGCCATTAGTCTTGTTTTCAGATCAGAAAATAGGCCTGTAATAAAAACTACCCCCACACCAAAGTGTTCCCTTTGGTATATAAGGAATAGGAGGAGCAAGTCCTTTCTGTGGCTTTAAAAAAAAAAAAAAAGGACAAAAAAAAGTCAAGCAACAAGAAACTGCAGGGGTAGATGGGCACCCGGCCACAAGGGGGCACAATGTACCCCCCCTTTCCTCACCTTCAATGGCTAATAGATCTAATTTTTTTTTTTTTAAGGTTTAAGACAGAGACAGAGCACAAGCAGGGGAGGGGCAGAGAGGGACACGGAACCTGAAGCAGATTCCAGGCTCTGAGCTGTCAGCACAGACACAGGGCTCGAACTCACGAACCTTGAGATCATGACCTGGGCTGAAGTCAGTCGCTCAATGGACTAAGCCACTCAGGTGCCCCTCTTAACCGATTTAATGCAGGCTGTCAGCCATTGCTGTACATGGATGAATTCTTTTGAAAAGTTTTATGTGAATACATTTTGAAATATCATTTAAGAAGCGCATGCACGTGGAACATTTTCTACCAAGTTTTATTGTGACTTTTGGTCAACTCAAGAATCATGGCCCAATTGGTCACATGTAAATCCAAGTATTAATTGGAATTACTTCGAGAAAGCTCCACCCAGTCTGTTCCTATATCCACCTCCTTATTCACGCTGGCTCTTTCCAATAACCTAATTAGTGTGACACTCATTTGTTTAGAAACAGAAGCCAAACTCTTGGCCAAAAGGCCAAAGAAGGCCCACATCAGTGATTACCCCTAAAGCAATGGGAATCAGAGGAGGTGTGGACAAAAACAGGTTTTCATTTCCGGAAATTCGATTCTTGCACCTCCCTTAATGCAGGAGGTCCTCAAATACACATAATGTTTACCTGACCTTCAGATTTATCCAAACCCTTTTTTTTTTACCCTTCTATTTCCTGCCCTTTTTGACTACTTCATTGGTTAATGCCACTAAATAACCACAAACAAAAAGGAAGAAAGACTTAAATGGTAAGAAGTTCACATCCATAAAAATACCAGCCTTACTTTCACGCAGCAGCACGGCATTTTAGCTTCTCATGGTCTACAACGGTTGGAGACCAGGCCTTCTGGTAACGCTCCCCACCCTCTCCCCACACTGGTGTCTCCACCAGTCCTGCCCATCTCTCCAGCAGTCCCTCTCTACCCGAAGTCAAGCGTGCAGGGGTCTGAATGGCTTAATTCACAGGGGCAGTTCTGGGCCACAACACTACAGACCACGTGTTCAGCGATGGGAACACAAAAATGCAGTTATCCCCCAACCCAACTAGGGAGAAGAGTGGAAAGACAGAAACCCTGGGTTGTAGATGCTGGCCATATGGAAATCCTGGAAAATAAGGGGGGAGGGAACAGAAGAAAAGACACCCTGAAAGGTTTTGAGTCAAATATGCTGTGACTGCAGAAACAGGGAGAGGAAGGTTCCCTGCCGGAAACGCTCCAGTCTTTCCCCATCTCTGCTCCCAGAAATTCCCATGTTTCAGACAAGACTTTTCGCCCCACAACTAGGGAAAGAAAAATGGCTTCAAGCTACAAAATATCTAGTAACCAATAAAGTGAGTGTCATGTCTTTGTTCCTATTTAAATAAGAAGGACAATGTTCAGGAACCAGAAAGCACTAAACTTGAGAAGGCACCAAAGGACCCATTTTGTAAATTTCATAACTTGCCTCCTTTAAATAAGCATTCCTTCAACAGTCACTGGGCATTTACTGCCCACACTGGTTGCTAGGGATATACAAAGGTGAGTCAACGTTGTCCTTGCTCTGTCTAATGAAGTCTATTTGTTTTCATCTAGCTTGGGACACATAAAAACTGCAGGCAGGTCATTTATATCTCAAGGAGAAACAGAAAGGAGCAGGCATTGTGTGACAGGATGTGGTTAAGGGACATCAATTGTTTCAGGTGCCACAGAGCACACCTTGCCACAGGCTGAATCCCCCAACCCTGAAATGTGGCTTTCAATTTCCTATGCCTTTATCTCATTGCTATGGACCACGGAGAGATGCATGGATAAAGGCCATCCAGATAGACAGCAATATCTAGAGCTCCAAAACTCATCACCATCATGATTGCGGACCCGGACAACTTACCATGTGCCGGCGGAGTATCGTTTGGCTCTTCATGTATTTTAAACAGAATTCGCACATGTAGAGACGCCCCAATCGTGCATACTCTTCAGGATAGGGAGAATGGTACCAAGTATCGAGCTCATAACGACCAAAAGCAATTGTTTTAATCATGTTGCTCCCCTCTGTGATTTGGCCTTGCAGCCGTAACTTCTCCTAGTGTGGAGAAGAAATCCAAAGTCAGAAGATTAGAATTGATCATCTTTGTTATTAAAAAACCCGTAGTTAGCTTACTATGCATACTACCACGCTAGGCTAGGAGAAAAATAGAACTGGCTTCTAACTCACGAGAAATTTGCACTATGGAGGGCTACCTACCTGGGCATGGATAATCAGGAAGGCTTCTAGAAAACTCCTGTCTACACACTGCCTGGCACAGGTCTCAACAGACAGCAAGCGGCTTCTCTCTGCTCCCCCCTACCATGCTCCAGGCCTTGTCTCTTGAACCTCAGAACAAGTCCTTGGTAAAATTTTGTTTTTAACCAGCCTGCACCAAACCAAATTTTAAAGCAATCTACCAAGAATGCAAATGCCCCACCCTCACTGGACACTTCTAAAATGAAACAGAAGAGATCCAGAACGTGCTTTGAGATCTGCTTCTAAAGCTTATGGATTGTTGGGACAGAAATCTACTGGGATAGGGGGCCATCCTCTCAACATCGGTCCCTGAGAAAAAAAAACATTCCTGAAACATGAACGGGTGCTTTAATTCTGTAATCTAAACTCCAGATAAAGTAGAAAATACTTCTGGGGATCTATCTCTACTCAGTCGCTAGAATTTGTCAGCATAACCAGGTGGAGAGCGGTGAAACAGACTAACCTGGGGAATGCTCTGTTCTGGAGCAGAACAGAGAAAGCCAGCCATAGCACAGCAGCCCAGCCCAGCCCAGCCCAGGGCAGCTATCAAACCCTGCCTCCTCTACGTTTCCAATAAGTCTGTAGGAGGATTTGTAAATTAAGTGTTTGATAAAATTAAAAAAAAAAAAAAAAAAAAAAAAAAAAAAGGTTTAACGGGATGTTCAGGTTTTAAGCTAAGTTTCCCCAAACACATTTAATCTGTTAAATCAGAGGTACCAGTTTTTAAAAGCAAAGTTGTTGAAAATTCTGCCTAGGGTATCAAAACTATGCGTAAAACTAACTGTAAATAAAAAGCAGAACACAAAACCAGCTTCATGTATGAAACTTGGCTAGGTCAACGCTGAATTTTCTAAAATATCCACCTACAGTCTTTTCCATTATTCCTCTTCACTGTTCTTTTAGAGCTAGCCTGGAAGGGCTGAAGAAACTGCTAAGCCTAAGCCAAGTTCCTGGAGGGGGTTAAGAGAACAGAGAGGCTCACCAACCAGTCCAGAGGCTCTCAGAATTGCAAATTACCCAACTGAGACCCAGGGGCACCTATTGTCTTTACCAGCCTCAATACCTCCACACCGAACTGGTCCTTCCGGGAGGTGAAAGGGAGAGAGAAAACCCATCAGGCAAAGGAAAGAGAAGGGAGGAGGGGTAATTAATTTTAACTATGAATGGGGTGGATCACCTCGAAGCTGGATAGCTGGGGGAGGGGGAAGAGATTCAAGCGGCAAAGTACGTTTGTTTAATTCCTGGCCAACTGATGGCTGATCATTCTTCTTGGCAGTCCCACATGCCCTTCCCAAGTGGTCCAGAGCTTGAAGGTTTTCATACTCACCAAATCCTCTGAAGCCCGGGCTTGCGCTCTTCGGAAAAGATCCAAGTCATATTCGCTAGTCAGGTTTTCCAAGAGAGGTTCCCGAGTATTCCCATAGGTCTGTCTGTGTTCCTAGGAAAATAGCCAGAGCGTGATTCTCTCTGCTTCTAAGAACTTCATCTATTTCAACTGATGCCAACCAGAGGGCCAAGCACAACTATAAGCTATTTACTTAGTGCCTACTATATGCCAGGCATTATACTCGGCACCAGGAATTGAGCGTAAGACGCACTATCAGGTTAATGCCAAAAACCACCACTATCCACCCTAATGAATCTAGAAAGAAAATGCTCCTACACCTTCAAAAAGGAGCTTCATTCTTCTATCTCTAAATGAGCACCTCGAGGATCAGAATTCTATGCCTCCATTTCTTCATCTGAAAATGTGCATGACAGTACAAATAAATAAAAATGTAACAAACCCAAAGGCACTACACATTCCTAGACAAAACAAAAAACAAAAAACCAAATCTCTGACACTCAGAGTCTGAGAGTTTAGACTGAAAGGGAAAGCTGCAAAGGGGAAGGGTTAGCTGCGCTAAGGAGTCCTTGGTAAATTCTGTCCCGAGTCGCTGCACCCACTGCGGTCTGCCAAAGGCCCAAAGCTCCCGACTCAGATCTCCAGCCCAAGTGCACAGGCAAAAGAGGATGGCCTCTTTAAAAAACATTTTACTAAATATTAAGCAAGAAGAAAGAGGCAATATTCATAGAAAATCCGAAGCATAAAAATAACCCAGTTCTTAATAAGTATCAAATCTCACCATGATAGTAAAGTATCCTTGCGCAGGAAAGGAAGGGCACGAGGGAAACTTCCCTTTTAAACCTCCAATTCTAGCCCTTCCCACTTGATCCTAGACTCCACCTCCCACCCAGAGAATAGGAGATAATGGTTGTTAAGTGGAGTGGATGGCTCATCCTAGGGAGACCATTATAGAGTTCACACACATATTAGCATATGAAAAAACCATTCACCAATATCTTGAAGCTATTACAATTTCTTCAGGTTCTTCTGGGCCCATCTGACCAGTATATTTTGAATTTGGACTCTGTTATCTACGATTTAGGTTCTCAGTATTAAAAGTATTTCTTCTAGTTTCATACACATCTTTTTTTAAGTTAAAAAAAATACCCTACCCAGCATTTTTAACAGGAAGGTTGGGTCCCCATCACCTAGCTCAAATTATTGCAAAGTAGATGTTTGTAAGATAAACTTCAGGAGCTTTTCCTTCAGACACTCCTTGTACCCATATGATTTCTGGGCAAATTACCTCTCTAAACCTCTCCATTCTTATCTACGAAATAGGTAAGACGCCATCCGTCATAGAGGGCTGTCCTAGAAATGATGGGAACAACATGACCATGACACCTAACACACAAGCACTCAATAAATGCTATTACCATATTATTTATGCCCCATCTACCCAACATGTGAATAAAAGCCCTGAACCAGGCCAAGGGAAGCAGCAGTCAGCCTCATACTAGAGCCTTCCCTCTACAAACCCAACAGTCTGGTGTAGGTGTTTAGCTACAAATTAGCCCACCATCCATCTCCTACTGGCTGTTGCCATTTATTCGTAAGATTCTCATTCTCAGGGCAGGGAGGACCACCAAATAAAGTAAATACGTAGTTTGGCACGTTTTGGCCTTAGTGAAGCCACGCTGTCTAAGCACTCACAACCCATCTAGTCTGATGACTCAAGAAGCCAAAATTCCAATTCCATGAAAAAATAAACATCAGAAAAAGACCCAGAGATCACACAGCAAAACACCCAGGGGGTTACATCTCAGAGGGTGATTTTTATTCTCTGTATTTTTGGTATTTTCTTTCTTTTTTTTAACGTTTATTCATTTTTGAGAGACAGAGTGCGAGTGGGGGAGGGGCAGAGAGAGAGGGAGACACAAGATCTGAAGCAGGCTCCAGGCGGGTAGCTCAGAGCCTCACGCGGGCTCGAACCCATGAACTGCGAGATCATGACCTGAGCCAAAGTCGGATGCTTCACCAACTGAGCCACCCAGGTGCCCTTTGGTATTTTCAATAGTAAGCATTTATGAACACGTTTATAAATCTTTATCAATTACATATATTCATATATCGCATTTACAATAAGTCTTTATTTAAATTTTATGCAAAAATGCTTTGAAGAATTTTTCATGAACTTGAGGAAATTAGTTCAAACCATTTAAGTGAAAACAAAGAAATTCAAAGCTGTACTTACAGTAATATCCAAATGACATAAATAAGGCATTATGTAAAAGGTCAGAAAAGGTCAGGAGGCTCTCCCCCCAAACGCTAACTGTGGTTACTTTTAAGTAACCACTACACCCAATGTGAGGCTCAAACTCACAACCCCAAGATCAAGAGTCAGATGCTTTTCTGACTGAGCCAACCAGGCGTCCCTATTTCCCTGTACTTTTCTTAATTGGTCTGTACTCCCTATTACAAATGTGAATTACTTTTAAAACTAGAAAAAAATTAAAATACTACCAAAGAAATCTTATTATATAGAATACATCCCCCAATTAATACCCTTTATCATGTAGGAATTTTGTTTTCCCATTAAAAATACACAGACTCTCACTCAGTTGGAATACTTTTCCTTATACAGACATCTCCAATATCTTGGTATTTGTTCAAGGGGCTAAATTTAACCTTTTACAGCAAATCTGAAAAGCAGAGTTTAGAAATCAAAAGCAATCACATGCAATTACAAGAGTTCATGCCAATGGTCAACGTTTTCTCACCATGTATTTCTCTTTCTGCTCTTTGCTCAGCCCAGAATTCCTTTTCTTCCTGAGTTCGGCCACCTTTTCCTTATACCGCAGCTGCCTCTCTGTTGGTGCCTGAAAGGAAAGAGAAAACTGAGAAGCTAGCCAGAAAACTCATTATGTCAGTAAGTTTCAAAATGAAGAACAAAACGAAACGAAACAAAACAAAACATGGCAGGGAAGAAAAAAACGCCAGACGTGTGAAGGCCACCCTATGCCTGTGACGGCAATTTTAAAATTCCAAATTGGGTTCCCAGACCACCGTGGTTACAGGCAGTTCATATTTATTTTAAATATTAAGCCCAAAAGAACACCATGTTGAGGGACGTCTCCACCAGAGCAACACGAATAAAATAAAGATGATTTCAATTCAGTAAGCATTTATTGAACGTTTACTGTTTTCCCAGTACTGATACGAGAAGGAATACAATTTTTACACTGAGAAAGATTAGAACCCAAGACAGACAATGAAAAAAAGTAGAGCTACCACTTACAGAGTGCGTATTACCTGCCAAGCACTGGGGATAGGTATTTTGTTAGCTGACGCCCCTACCAGGTAGGTATTCTTCTTCACTCGTTGTTATTAACAAAAAAATGCCAGGTGTGTTACAAGGACAGAAAGTTTAGGGAGGTTAGCTGACCTGCCCAAGACCACACAGGTAGAGTCACAGAATGACAGTATTCAAATCCAGATCTGTCTGGCTCCAAACCCAAACTTCTCCCTCCTCACCATGCCTTCCTCTGCTATCCACCTATAATCTAACCACAAAAACAGACATCCGTATGATGAACTGTGATAAAGGCTAAACCAGCCTTCGGAGAACATTACGATGGAACAGATGAGGAAGAAATTCATTCTTGATAGGAGATCTGGGAAGAGTTCCTACCACAGCTGAGAGGTGCTGAAGGCCTTGAAGGATAAGCAGAATTTCTTCTTGGTACAGGCACAGAGTTAGGCAGAAAAACAGTAAGAACAAAGACCAAAGGCATTCGTGGAAGAACTAGGAATTTAAGCGTAATCAACAAGCACGAACGTTCAAAGAGGTAGACAAACTAGGGCAAAGCAGCGTCTAAGAGTCCAAGGGAAGAGAGAAATGGAAGAGAAATGACATGACCAACAAGTGTCAAATGCTAAGGAAAAGTCACCGCTGACCTCGGAAACATGCCAGCAGAGCGAAGGGGTTTGAAAGTAACAAAGGGCTAAAAAGTAGATGCAAAGTGAGGAAACAGAGCAGCAAGTGTATCTTTCAAAGAATGAGGATTATCTTTTATCACTATTACTATCATTATCATAAATAGCACGAGTCCTTCATTTATGAGGCAGAGGTGTTTGTTTCACGAAATTTTACTCTTTGGAAAAACAAAACAAAACAAAACAAAACAAAAACGCTTCTGAGTTCATGACTGAAGACCAGTTATTTAGAAATACCACAGGGAACGAGAGGCACAGATAGACCTAAAGACCGTTAACGGGGCAGAGGAGATCCCAGACTTGGCTCTCAGACTGTGAGCGGCCAGAGTTTAACAAGGCCCATACCTGGTGCCTGGTTGCATGCCTGTTGTTGTCATCTTGCCTGTGGGACAGCATCCTTTCTTCTATCTGCTTATCCCGGCTCTGTGCTCTCACCTGCAACCATCAACAACGTCAATAAATCCACCTGCTTCTAAGACTAAGTTTACTGAAAGCATAAGAATACAATGGTCATCCCTTGAATTTACGTTGCACTTTCACTTTCAAAGGGTCTTCGCGTTTATCAGCACAATCTCTACAAGAATAGGCGAGGCAGGCGTCACAGTCTGTCTCCTCAGCCACGAACTAGAGTCAGAGAAGTGAAACCAAGACCGCTGACTGGTGGTAAGGCTAAGATTTTAATTCAGTCTGAGGACTCTGAGCCTGGACCCTTCCCACCGTACAGTGGATAAGAAACAAGAAACCGTGAGGAAGTGCAAACACAGGGCAAAGAAGTGTGAGGGAAAGGGTGGACGCCTGGGGTCAAGTCTATAGGGAAACTGACCTCTGGAGTCGGGTGATCCTAAGACGGATCACATCAGCTCTCCCAACCGTTTCAGGACCATCTCCCGGAAGGAGAGGGCTCGTATCCCACCGCCTGTTCAACTTCACACTAGGACTAGGACTCGGCAGGTCAAAACACAATGACTGACATTTTCCCACAGACCAGCTCCTCCCAAACATTCCGTCTATCAACAGCAACGCTTTCTAAGCAACTCACCACATCAGAAACGAGAAGGTCGCCCTCGTTGCTTCTCTCTGTCTCACACCTCGCGTCACAAAATCCATCAGCAAGTCTATCAGGCTGCTCCCCTCCAAAACATACCCCGAGTCCAATCAATTCTTACTATCTCCACTGATACAACGCCAGTCCAGGCTACTAGCTCCTGCCTGAGCTCAGAGCGGTCTGCCAACTAGTCTACCTGGGTCAGCGCCTGCCCCCTCCAGTCCATTCTCCACACCACGAACCAGCCGTGACTTTTAAAAAGTGCTCGTGAAAATTCTATTACACCTCTGCTAAAGCCCTCCAAATGTGTCCCGCCGCCATCACAGTAAAGACGCACTTCCAACGCCAAGGCCTTAACAGGTCCTTCATGATCTGGATCCGGCTTCCGCATTCCCGATCACGTTCCAGCCACGCTGGCCTACTCTTGGTCCCTCAAACCCAGGCGTTTACCCCCACCTCTCGGCCTCTGTGTTTGCTCGTCCTTCCACTTAACGTCTCTCCTCCTAGATCCGGACACAACCGTCTCTTTGCCCATCAGCCACGTCTCAGGTCAAATGCCAACTCCTCCAGGAGGTCTTCCTGAACAACCCAAGCGGAAGCAGTGCCGTATCCCCGTCACCCCCAAACAGCCACTCTCTGTATTTGTAGTTTTTTGGTTCCTCGCAGCATTTATCACTGCTTGAAATTCTTCTTCACTGATTAGTTTCTATGTGTTTTGCCTCCCCCTGTGAGAACGTTAGCTCCTCGAACGCAGTCTTTTACTGGATTCACAGAACCCACAGATATCTGTCACAGCGTTTGGCACAGCAATCTGGAACTGAATAAAAGCGGTCCTAACGTTGATTGCAATTGTCCACTGGGAAACTCAGAGTGACCACCTATAGGCAAGTACTTTAAAAATGACAGAGCTTTCGGGGCGCCTGGGTGGCTCAGTTGGTTAAGCGGCCGACTTCGGCTCAGGTCATGATCTCATGGTCCGTGAGTTCGAGCCCCACGTCGGGCTCTGTGCTGACAGCTCAGAGCCTGGAGCCCGTTTCAGATTCTCTGTCTCCCTCTCTCTCTGACCCTCCCCTGCTCATGCTCTGTCTCTCTCTGTCTCAAAAATAAATAAAGTTAAAAAAAAATTTTAAAAAAAAATGACAGAGCTTTCAATTTAGGTGAGGAGTTAGTCTATAATTCTTCCACTTGGGATTCTAAATATAATAAAAACCTATATCCTTCAGAAATTCTCTGGATCGTCCAAGTTCCAGTAGTCAAGATGGATTATGCTGAGCCTGATTTCTCTTGCAAAGAAGAAAACACGACAGAGGAAGAATTCAGGAAATGCTTTCCTTTTCTTCAGAACTTTCTTCCCCAAACTGGCACTTTTCTTTTTCTTTTTTAAAAATAAATTGCTTAAGGTAACTCGTTCACATTGCTACAAGCCAACAATTTTTGAAAGTTGTACCCGAGGAAGACGTCAATGCGAGACCACGCTTAGTATCGGATCACGATATTTAAAGTCAAGAGGTAGAGGGCGACTCCCAAAAAAAGAGATCACGGTTATTTTCAGAGAACAAAAGACCCAAAGCCTTGTCGGCTTCTGCTGCAGATACCGGCAGAGCTGCTCCTGTTGGGATCTGGTCTCAGACTAATGGGAAGATAATGGGCAGACCAACCACTCACTCTTACACAGAGCAGAAGAAATGAGCCTGCTTACACAAGAGATTTGGAATAAAGAAAAATGACAGTGTCTTCAACCTTGAAATCCATGCAAGCTTTCAAAGTCTACTACTTTGCTGAAAGACTAAACATGCAAAGAAACTTCCCATCGTGTGGTCTCGTTAAGAAAAAGAGGACAAATTCCTGACTCGGAAAGAACTAGTGTTAGTTAGGGATTCTCATTTTTCTTAGGATGAAACTGGCTCAGACAGGAATAAATCTGTGACCTTGGCATTGTTAGAAAATAACAACCACAGGAACAGTTAATACTTTGATGCCATGAGCTTGGATAACCTGTCCAAACACTACCCACGCAATGCATTTAATGAAGCGTGTTTGCAACTCCTGGTTCCCCATTATTAGTTTCATCCTTGGTAGCAGCAGCCGATACAGGAGCCCACAAAATAGGGTCTTAGGCTCTCCTAAATCCATCACCCTCAAATCCCAAAAGTTACGTAGGACTATATTTTTCAAGAATTTAAGACAAAAACTGGCCAAGAGTGGGTGTGACTGAGAGTAACAACAAGGAAACGTATTCTGCGGAAACAGAGCCAAAGGAAAATAATCATGCAAAAATTTAAAGAGCAAAATGTCTTCAGAGATTCACGAGAAGAGAACTTAATGCACAAATACTGAGATCACATATTTAGGCAAATTAATTCCTCGTGGAAAAGGTCCCTGCCTCGTCGAAGTCAATTTTCAATGGAAAATATCAATGCACACAGGATGATATTCCAAATGTTCCAGATCTCCCTATTAATTTCTTTCGAAGCAGTCATTACACACTGTAATTCTTTTATTTATCTGTTTAAATCTTTCTTTAAAAAACCCAGCTGTATTTTTATTGTTTCCTCCACTGGAAGATAAGAAAAAGGACCTTGCCTATTTTGTTCACATTGTATCCCCAGTGTTTAGCCAAGTGCCTGGCAACGGAAAAGCACTCACTAGATTAAGTATAGAGTCAAATAATGAATACAATTACCTTGCACTCATCAGCGGACAGGTTATGATAGAGCGGGCATCCTGAGATGGAGAAATGTCTCTCATGTTTTCCTGTAAGATGTCCTGTTAAAAGAGGAAAAAACTTTATCTCGAGACAGAAGATTTAAGTTCATAAAGTGACGTGGGTTTTTTTGTGTGAAAAAAATTTTTTTAATGTTTATTATTTTTGAGGGAGAGACAGAGAGCAAGCAGGCGAGGGGCAGAGAGAGAGGGAGACACAGAGTCGGAAGCAGGCTCTGGGCTCTGAGCTGTCAAGCACAGAGCCCGATGTGGGGCTTGAACCCACAGACCATGAGATCATGACCTGAGCTGAAGTCGGACGCTCAACCAACTGAGTCACCCAGGCGCCCCAAAGTGGTAAGTTTTCTATAGGACAACTGTGTAATTTGGCTGTATCATTTCTATCCAATATGTATC